GGGGAGGGCGGAGCAGCCAAGCAGCGACCGGGGGAGCAGCAGCAATGAGCAGAGCAGCCAGAGCGTCCCTGTCCCCAGCCCTGTCCCCAGCCCTGTCCCCAGCCCTGTCCCCCAGCCCGCACATGCTGAGGAGCGGGGACATTCCCAAAGCGAGGGTGGGGAGCCCCGATTTGAGCTGGAGCCCAGTGTCCCCACACAGGGACCAGTGGCCACCGGGCCACCCCACGTGTCGCCTCAGCCTCCCCAAAGCCCCCTGCTGCCATGCTCATGCCCCCCCCCCCCCCACCTCGAGACCCCCAGCCCAGCGCTGCAGCCATCGCGGGGGACACGGGACACTGCCAGGTGACACCGCAGCTGTCCCAGAGCCGCCATTACAACCTGGGGACGCTCCCTGGTGTCCCCGGGGGTGGCACCCGGGGCTGTCCCCTCACCTGAGTGTCGGCGGGCAGCCGGGGCATGGAGGCGGCGCGGCCGTGCCCCTCCATGGGCAGGTAGTCACTGTCCGAGTGGCCATCCTTGGGCATCTCCCGCATCTCCACCAGCTGCGGCACCGGGGAAACTGAGGCACGGCGGGACAGCCCCCCCCACACACACACACACCGGGCACGGCGGGGGGACACGGGGGGTGGGGAGGGGGCTCAGGTGACACAGGAGGTGGCACAGCCCTCACCTGGGAGTTGGGGCGGCTGTTGGGGACATCGTCGGGGTGGCCCCGCTCGGGGCTCCAGGTCCCGGTCCTCTGGAACATCTCCTGGGCGCGCTGAGTGACCCAGGACTGGCTCTCCTTCATGTCCCCGTCCCGCGCGGCCCTGCGGGACAGCGGAGCTCAGGGCGGCCCCGCGGGGACACCGGCGACACCGAGGACACCGAGGACCCCGGGTGGCACTTACGGCTCTGCCGCGGGCGCCGAGTCCGGCCCCGGGGGACCCTCCTGGGTGGGGGACGGCGGCTCCATGCGCTGGAACATCAGCGGGGTCCGGTTCTGCGGGGACACGGGAGGGTGGGCACGGGGACACCGGGACACCGGGACACGGGGACAGCGGGACACGGGGATACCAGGACAAGGGATACCGGGACACCGGGACACAACGGGACACGGGGACAGCGGGACAAGGGGACAGAAGGAGGGGACGTGGCTGGGGTGGTCAGGGAGGGGTTGGGATTATGGGGAGGGGACGCCGGAGGTGGCAGAGGAGAGGACGGGGCAGGGCTGGCGCCCTTGGGGGCTGCGGGGACACTGCGGGGTGACAGCCAGGGGACAGTGGCGGTGTCCCCACCTGCTCCTCGCGCATGGCCTGCAGCTTCTTGGCCTTGCTCTGCCGGTAATACTCCATGATCATCATGGCCGCGTAGATCTTCCCCACCGTCAGGTCGGTGGCTGCGGGGACAGCGGGGACACGGCTCAGCGGGGACAGGGGGACACGGCGGGGACAGGCACGGGGACGGGGCGGCCCCTTACACTTGTGGGGGGTGACAAGCAGGTCCAGGTTTTTGGGGGACAGGTTGGGCCAGATGGCGATCATCTCCTTGCGCAGCTCCGCGTCCATCTGCTGCTTGTCGGCCCCGCCTGCGGGGACACGCGGGTGACACGCGGGGGACACGCGGGTGGCTCTGGGCGGCCCCGGGGATCCCCCGGT